TGTGTGTTCAGTGTTGTAACAAAATCATTTTTGAGATATGCCCCAAGCTTCAGGGATTCCATTTCTTGTCCTCTTGAAACTCATCTGATTTGGTCATCTTCGTGTGTCTGGATGGCCTACCTCCGAGGTCCTGAGGGTCCCTCACCACTCTGTTCTCCCTCTGCCGGTGTTATGGTTCCTTCTCTAGACAGCAGTGAGCGACACTGGAAGTTAGTTATCCAGTGTGTTCATCCTTCCATCTCCTAGACCCTCTACCTCGGTTAAGTGGTTGGTCATGAGAAGACGTTTCTATCACAGGGAGCGAGGGAGAGAGTTTCCGTGACTCCTGACCAGGTCCTTACATCGTGCCCTGTGAACTTTTGATGGCTCTGCAGCTACGAGCTTTGATTCTCCAGTCACGAGAGAAGGGTTTGCATGCGTGTTGTCCTCGGTTTGAAGGTTGGAAGTCCCATGGCCTCGTCCTGGCCACAGCTCCACTCTGCTTGCTCCGAGACTTCTCTAGGGCATCTCCATCTCCCCCTCCCTTGCTTCCTCTTCTATTCAGGGATCTGTTTCTGGACTGTTGATTCTTGGGTCCAGTATGCAACCACTCTGCCCTGTGTTCTTCCTTCCTCGTAGAGCCTTTGAAGCATTATATTGAGAACATTCTCATGTAAATACTGTAACTTTTATAATGATCAAGTTCTTTCGGATTATCTCCATTCTTCTGCCTTCTATGTAAATGTGTGACCGACCTCTTTTAGTTTGGGATCTTCCAAATGTCTCTATCACTGTCTGATATGCCATGTGTTCCCATGGTGGCCAATGAAAATGTACTTCTCTTTTTGAGTGAAAACCAGATATTCTCCTCACTTGGGTTTGTATCATTTTAGCTTGTGTTAATAAAGGGATCCCAGAAAACTAGATTCTAGATTTAAGGGGCCATCTATGAATTGCCCACAGTAGGTGTTATGGATAACAGGAGGTTGGTACTCAGTCCATCCTGCAGATTGACCTCACCAGACTTGTTGGTACCTCTGCCATAAGACCCTAGAAGCATATTTGGGAGTTGTATGGGACCAGGTTGACTTTGGGAAGAGGGAACAATGAATAGGGCTCCCCTAGAATCTGGAGGTGACTCTAGGGTCATGTCTAGTAAGTTGAATTTTTACTAGTAAAAGGGCTGAATATAGTGTGTAGCCGTCTCAGAACTAGATTATAGTGGACCAAATTGTCACTGGTAGTGGGTGGTAGCCTGGTGGAGCTCCCAGATCAATGTATTCTCGCAGTGTTGATATTCTAAGAAGCCTGCCTGTGTAGGAAGGAATATGATACAGAGATGCATGCTTGATGGAGACCTGTCTGGGTTTACTCTTTGGAGCTGAAGGCTGTTTTATGCTGGCTGAGTCTCAGATAAGAGGAAGCCACAAAGACAGCATCACTGAATTCTCCTTGGTATTTTGGTAAATAGCATCATAACTTCTCCTTACTAGAAGTGCGAATCTCTTCCTTGCTAAATGCAATGGAAACTCTAGGCTTACTTCCTGTTGCAGCTGGTACAGAAAGGGTTGAGGTGGCTTCCGCTGGCTGGCCGATGTGAGTGCTGGCCTCCTGCCAAATGCCTCCCTACCCTTCCTCCTCCTTTCAGGACTCATCCAGATATCCAAGGGAGAAATTGCTCCACATGGGGTGGCCCACAAATCAGCCTGACCACTAACTACTTAGAAGTAATGCCTTTTACAATGCAAGGGTCTCCCTCCGCTCAACCTGTCCTTTCCTTCCTTTATAAGCCCTCTCCTCTGCCCTGCGCAACATCCTAACCGCTCCCCAAAGATACGGTGTGGTGATACCAGCTAACCCCAGGAATGTGAATTGCTGTCCACATTACCTGTGTTGAGAAGGAGCCAGTGGGTCTGTAGCCAGAAAGCACTGTTTAAAATGTGAACTGTTACAGAACAAATAAATGCTGTGTACAGGATTGTACATGTGTGGTCTTCTCTTTCTTGCTAACCAGAATGGTTTCCTTCCCTTATAGAAAAAAAAGGTGAGTAGATGGATGGCATCCTTTGTGGAGGGAACAGTGTGGACAGTTTCTGAGATGAAGGAGCAGTGGGTATCCAGAGAGGAACGTCGGCCTCAGTCTCATTCCTGGGAGAAGTTCCTGTATGAGTCTCCTCTGGGGACTTGGGAGACCAGTTCTAGGAGTGAGTCTGATCCTATAGGCTATAGAAACCTAAAATCATACTGCCTTCCAATGGCTTCTAGGATCATATTTAATAATGTTTTTATTTTTAAAATTGTATTATTACTGTGTGTGCCATGGCATGTGTGTGGATGTTGGCAGACAGCTTTTGGAGTCGGTTTTCTTCCACCGTAGGACCCAGGCATCAAGTCCAGGCTGTGGGATTAGTGCAGTAAGTACCTTACCTGCTGAGCCGTTTATCCCAGCCTGTATTTTGTCAGTTCTTAGTGATAATTCTTATTGTTTTGAAACTTATTTTATGCATACGAGTTATTTGCTTGCCTGTATGTCTGTGTGTCCCATGTGTGTGCAGTGTCTGTGGAGGCTGGGAGAGGGCAGATTCCCTGGAGCTGGAGTTACAGTTGTTAGCCACCATGAATGTTAGGAACTGGAAGTCAAGTGCAGGACCTCTGGAAGAGAAGCCAGCTCCCTAGCCAGCCCATGTAATCTGGAAGAGAAGCCGGCTCCCTAGCCAGCCCATGTAATTGTACTTTACTAGCTATTACGAGGATTCAAGACCCTAGTATGCAAGTGTGCAAGGTGCCTTCAACAGTGTTTCCGTCTTCCTGTGTATGACTTCCAGAAAAATCCCAGTGCACCATAGGTAAGCCACCATCAATTTGCTCACCTGTTTCTTCAGCTTCCAGACGCTGACTAGCTTCATCAGACCCTTAAAGGTAGAAGGGTGTTTAACTTGCCTTTTTATCTGCATTGTATGGTCTAGAACCAGCCTTGAGCAGTCAGTGAAGAGACGGGGATTCTGGATCCATGAGATGGGACAGGGGTAGAGCAAAGCAGTGTCAAGGGAAACGGGGCAGAGCAATGTCCTGGAGATGACTTAAGGTTCTCTTATTCTAAACGCAAGGCTCAAGAGACACTTTTGCTTAAGCGGATGTTAATAAGCAAACACAGATGGTAGGGTTTAGCCTGCTCCCCAAACCCACTTAACTTCTAACACTGCTCTTCTATGGATGGCCCAGCCACTTCTTTCAGCTCCTGGCTGGTCCCTTGTTGAAATCCCTTGTCTTGTAGCGCTGAGTAGAGGTCGATACCTTCGGAGACGGAGCGGATGGGATGGCTGGGGTACTGTTGGCAGCTGGTCAAAGGGTCCCCTGAGTGGGCTGCGCATGGTATCTGGGGGAGGAAACAGCGGTGGTGCTGGGCGAGGCAGCTGGGGTTGGGGTCGAAGTTCTTCCTGTGCCTACACTGGAACTCCAGCACCATTCTCGTGTATGTGTTGAAGGTGGTGACAGCCGAAGCCATGCAGCAGGTGAAGGAAACCCAGGCCGTGCTAGGGGCAAGCACAGAGAAGGGACAGTGAGAGTCTGACTTGATGGAAGGAAAAGTGCCGTCTGCCCGGCCGCAGACCAGGCCCTGTCTTCTGGGGGACGTAGGAACCTGAGCGTGTTGCCTTCACCGGGCTTCTGTGACGGACAGACCGGGGACTCCATCTGCCCTGGTTTTGTAGCCAAGGCCTTTGATCCCATCGGCTGTCACCGCCAGGCTCTTCTATGCCTCGTGTGGGGTGTGTTTCTTTACCCCTGTAAAATCTAGATCCCACAGAGCTCTAGCTCTCTCCTACGGGGTGAGCACGAACTAATGCCCCCTCATCCCTTCTTTCCTCCCTTCATTCACTTTGCCCTGACTCTGGAGCCATCACCCCTCTTCTGCCCAACCTTCTTTCCAACTTAATTGTCCCCAAAGTTGAGCCTTTGATCGTCATTCATGAAAACGTTTCACTACAGATCTGAAGGCACCACACTTCGCTCCAGTGGAATTTGATTATTACGAACACCATGGTTCTTGGCACGGGGTGGGGGGTGAACAGTGGGAACTGGACGTGCATAGAAGCTGGGGGGATCTGAGAAGGAAAAAAGCACCCTCGGGAACTACATCGAACACATTCCTAAAGACCTGGGACGTCAAACCCCTGAATAGCCCTGTCCTTCTGTGAAGCCCAGGAAACAGGCTTTGTGAAGGTAGGAGGGGGTGCTTGGGAGGTCAAAGGTTGTCGAGAGCCAGGCCAAGGACTGTCCTGCAGCTTCCTGTTTGTTCCCTACGGTGGATCCGTATGTGGTCACTCTAGTGAGACTGTCAGCCTGAGCCCCAAAGTTCCGTTTCGTGCGTGCGCGTGTGCATGTGCATGTGCGCGCGCGTGTGTGTGTGTGTGTGTGTGTGTGTGTGTGTGTGTGTGTGTGTGTGTGTGTGTGTATACAGCCTCTTGAGTCAGTCCTTAACTTCCCCCTTGGTTGAGGCAGTTATTTTTGTTGTTGTTGACACTGAGTAGGCTACCTGGCCTATGAGCTTCCAGGAATTCCGGGTCTCTGCCTCCCATCTCTCCATACTGCTGGGATCATTGCCGCCTGCACTACTGTGTGCGGCTTCTGCTCGGGCCCCAGGGATTTGAACTCGGGTCCTTATGCTTCTACAGCAGTTACTTTACCAACTGAGCCAGCTCACCAACCCAGACCTACCCTTCTAATGCCAAGAAGTGGGCAAAGGTGAGGCCTGACTGGTCGGGGAAACCAGCAAAGCTGACATGGGTTGGTGGGTGGATTAGAGTCCTCAATGCAAAGCATGTACTGCAGCGTGAGGAAGTGGGTAGGATCAGAAGTGGGAGGGCCTCCTATGTACCTGCATTCGGATGGAAATGTGAGCCCAGCATAGTGTGTTTCCTGTGCCATTAATAATGTCCTCAGCACTCATCTGAGACAGTTTATGTGAATCCGGGTCATTAGCTTTGCAGTGAGTAGAGAATGTTCCTCCAGGGAGAAAGAAAATTAAAAACAAACAAACAAACAAAAAAAAAACCCAAAATGCCAAAAACAAAACCCCAGAGCTAGAGTACGTGTGTATTCAGGAAAAGTGAGAACGGACTCCTGAAGGCGGGAGGCCTCCAAGGAAAGAGTATTTGAGACTTAAACAAAGGAAATGCTCTGCTTGAATGTGTTGAAGGTGGCACTCCTGTAATCCCAGCACTTGAGAAGTAAAGGCAGGAGAATCAGGAGTTCAGGGCCAGCCTTGGCTACATGTGATTTCTTTAATCCTGCCTCCCCCCCTCCTCCCCGGAAAATTTAAAATTATGAAGTCCTTGGTTTTGAAGGTTAAGCTGGGGAAGCAAACAGTGGTGATGTGTGAGGCAGTGGGCTGGCACTGACTGAAGCTGTTCCTGCGTCTACACTTTGAACCCCAGCACTGTCCCCATGTACGCGTTGAAGGCGAGGACAGCCGATGCCAAGCAGCTTCTGTTTGTTTTGTGTTTTTGTTTTTAGAGACAAGGTTTCTCTGTGAAACAGTCCTGGCTGTCCTGGAACTCCCTCTATAGACCAGGCTGGCCTTGAACTCACAGAGATCCACCTGCCTCTGCCTCCTGAGTGCTGAGATTAAAGGAGTGCACCAGCACCGCCCGGCTGCAGTTTTATTTCTAGCAGTTCAGTAGAATTAAGACTGGAAATCTGGAGTTAGGAAGAAGTTACTCTTGGAATAGGGGAGTATATAATGGGTGGAAGATATTTTAGGATCATCAATAGATCAGAGAGAATTCAATCATAATTTCAAGATTATAATTACTGTCCATTTCTCTAATACCCTGAACTATAAAATATAGAACATACAGCATAGTTCCCACAAGCCATATAAAACCAGCCTTGCTGAAGCAACTGATTACAGCTGCTGAGTAGAAAACTGCACCAGGTCTCATCCTCAAAGCAAGTGAGAAGAATGTTCTAGGCACCCTCCGAAGGCAGGGAGGGAGCAGATAGCTGTCCCTGGTCCAGCCCTGGATTTGACTGATGGAGGAGGAGGAGGGGGGAATGGGAAGGTATATCCAGCTGAGGGTAGAAAATCCTGTGCGTGGTTGCTGGAGTTCGGTTGTAGAGGTTCAGGGGATGAGGATTACTCACTAGAAAGCCCAGCCATAATTCCAAGAATGTGGTCTCCAGTCCTCTGGACCTAGGTTGGCCGTGGCCTGGAAGACTTGTGAATACATCATGTGGGCCACCATCCCCAGAAGGCCTATGGAGGGAACAAGAAACAGAGGCCTTGGAGAAGGCTTCGTGGCATCTTTCTGTCAGCATCTGGGTCAGTCTATGTCAGGGCATCTAGGGGAGGGGCGTCTCCTTGCATGACTGTCTTTACAATGATTACCCCAAACTTTTGGCTGAGAGCCGTGACAGAATCTGAGTCAGTCTGTCATGGCTGGTGCTCATTTTGACTTCTTCCTACCCTTTAGCCTGCACAGTGTGTGTGTGTGTGTGTGTGTGTGTGTGTGTGTGTGTGTGTGTGTGTGATCTTACTTTAAATTCTGTCCAACAATGACACTGTGGAAAAGCTATATATTCTAGTTGAAAAGTAGACTGAGCCAAAGGCTTTACACATTGAGAAAGCTTGCAAATAAAGGGACCTAGAAGTAAGAGCGTATAGAGACACAGTTTCCCGGTGTCTTCTGCTGCCCTCTGTGTGTGGTTGTGTGCATGTGTGTACATGAGTGTGCACAAGTGCCTGTGTGTGAGCACAGGTTGTCTGGTTTCCCTCTGTTGCTCTCCGTCTTAATTCCCTCGAGGCAGGGTTTCTTGCTGAATCTAGAGCTGACTGCTTTTTTGCCCAAGCTAGCTGGCCGGCAAGTCCTAGCAATCCTCCTGTCTGATACTTCCACGCCCAGAGCTGGGGTTCCAGGTCAAAGCTGCCATGCTCGGCTTTTTACATGGGTGCTGGAGATTCTGACTTAGGTCCCCAACTTGAGCAGCAAGAGCTCTTGCCCACTGAGGCATCTCCCCAGTTCCTACCCCCAACTCCTCCTCTTCTTTTCCAGTCCCTTCCTCCTCTCATTAAGGTCGAAGTGCCAAGCCTTGAAGGTGGAACTTCAAAGGGACCTGTGAGCCAAGGGTCCTGCGCACCTCTAACCCCAGTGTTCGGGAGCTCAGAGGCGGTGAGCTAGCCTGGCCTACACAGGAAGGCCCTGGGCCCTGTCTCACTGAGCAGAGCAAAACAACAAAAGAAACATCCCAAGGAGCCCCAAGAGGAGGCACCCTCTGGCACTCCGCGGGCGGTCACTCACCAGACAGGACCAAGGAGATGGCTGCAAAGGCGCTCAGCTTGAGCCCGCAGCCAGGGTTACTGGTGAGCAGCAGATCTGTCAGTAGCAGGAGGAAGCTGATGAATTGAAGTCCGATGTAGGCAATTTGGGCACCCAGCGATAACCAGAGGACCTCTGCCAAAAGCCAAGAAAAGGAACCCCACCCAGACAGCAGTCAGTAACCACCGTGGACAGAAGTGCCCACCCGAAGTCAGAGGCCCAGGGGGAAAGGAAGACAAAGGTGAAATCAACACCTGTGGTGTCTGGGAAGAACGGGTATCACACTCGATGGGCTGTAAACACTGCTGAGCTTAGTTGTCAAACAGATGGCCCCATCTTCATAAACCCTGTGCTAAAGCTCATTCTTGACTTTCTCTTTAATTAGGGCTTACATTTTCATTCTCTCGACCTCTCACTCCTACTTTCAGTAAAACAAACTTGGACAAGGGATTATCTACTGGTAATCCCACTAGTAGGTGGGTAGAGGCAGGAAGAAGAGTGGTTTCTCAAGGCTAACCTGGCTACAAAGAGACTCTATCTCAACAAACAACAACAACAACAACAAAAAAGCCAATCTCCTCCCCCAACAACATCACAAAAGGGAAGAAAAGGCCAGGCCACAAACTCTTCAGGTTGTGTCCTGGGTTGGGTGCTGGTGACTTAGTTTGTGAGCTGCATTCCTGCATCTGCATGAGTGTCAACTTTAGGGGGAATTCCCGTCAGCCTGTGGGGCTCAGAGGTAGAGAAAGGCGGTCGCAGTGCAGTTTAGATGCAGAAAGGCCCGGGTCCACAGTCACTGAACACGTACTTGCCACGGGCCTCAAGGGGAGGTGGGGGAGGGGAGCCTTCTCCATCAACCACTCCCCTCCAGATCGGAGAGCGGGGTGATATGAGCCTTGCAACGTGGCAAATTCCAGTAGTCCTTTCTCACCTCTCTGGGCTGGTGGTGTGAGTTCAATGAAAGATCGGCATTTCTCCCCTAAAAGACGCAAGGGGCAATGTCATAAGGAGCTCCCTGGGGCTGTGGGCATAGAGATGTCCCATCCCACACCCAACCCTGCTCCATCTGCTCTGACACAGGCCCTGATGAGCATACAAGCAGCCACTCATTCAGCTGGTGCCCCATTCTGAAAACAGGAGAAAAGGCATGCATGAATGAGGCATCCAAGCTTCGTTTTTCTGGCCTTCATCTCTGATGATGAAAACAACGCTTTTCTGAGAGCATCTTTGTAGGGCAGAGTTCCAATTTCCAGATCTACATAATGAGTTCTATGTCTCGATAAGCATTTTTTTTTAAAAGCAGATGAGATGGCTCAGTGGGTAAGGGTGCATGCTTGCCAAGCCTGACTACTTCAGGTTGATCCCCTGGATCCACATGCTGGAAGGAGAGAGTGGATTTTGCCCATTGTCCTCTGACCTCCACATGCATGTACATACCCCTATACATACCCCTACATGATACAAATGAAAATGTAATTGGAAAAGCAGAACAAGTTGTGTGGGCTGGTGTGAGGGAATTACCTGGCTCTTCCACGATTTCCTCACAGGATAGCCACATGCCACTGCGGAAGATAAGGAAGGAGAACCGGTCATCCCCAGTCTCCCAGGTGTATTGTACCACCTCCTGGGCTGATGTGTTGGTGAGGCCCCCATCCAAGGACACCGGCATGGCAAAGCACTTGGCTGCCAGACCTTGCCCGCACAGGGGCTTGGGCACCTTCTGTGTGCCCACAAACCACTCGTTGCTGAGCAGGGATGCTGCGGAGAGGCTGAGTGATAGCATGCTGAGGATGGCAGAAATGAAGGTCCGCTGGACAGGGGAACCCTTCTGGAGCTCCATCTGCAACACACAAGCAGGAGAGGAGGAGGAGACAGCTGGGGAGCGCGCTCTCGGGCCTCCTTCACTCCTCCTCAACACGGATGACCAAGGCTGCCACAGGAGCGCTTTCCCCTGGGGAAGCTGTGCTTCAGTGTGAATGCTGTGTGGCTCTTACAGAGCCAGAGGGATTTGCATAGGCAGAGTGACGGACACTGGACAGGTTTACAGAAGGATGAAGGTGATACCAGATGGGAGACATTATCATGAGGGATACTAACGTCAGAGAGAACTCATGTGAGCAGGGTAGTATCTTGTGTCATGGAATTTGTGCATGTGCACCTGGAAGGCCTCCTCAGGACCCCACTTACAGCGTGTGTCCTCAGGCAGAGGCAGCAAGGGACCAAGGGTGGCTCCCTGCAGATGCTCTGAGCTGGCTAACCTCTTTTGGGGTACTTTTTATAATTATTTGTTCATGTATAAAATAGTGGGGTTTTGGTAATATTTTCATACATATATGTCACTGTATTTTGCTCATATTTGCCCCCTCCAGCCTTCCTTGTCCTCTCTTTCTCCTGCTGGTCCCTTCCTCTTCCCTAAATAATCCCTTTGGTTCTGCTTTCATGTCATATGTAATATGCATCATTCAATATGGATTCTTGTTTAAGAGAAAACATGCATGATGTCCCTCCCCCTTCATCCTCTGACGCCCTCCTCACTCCTTTCCTTCCCTCACATAGTTCCCCCTCCACATTCATACCCTTTAGACACCTAGATCTACTCATATGTATTTCTATACATGACAGGAAACATGCACTATTTGTCTTTCCAAGTCTGGCTTACTTTACTTACCAAGTTGCTCACCAGTTTCACTTACTTTCCTGTAAATAATGCAGTAAGTTTATTCTTTATAGCTGAATATACCTCCATGGTGTGCATATATTATCAAGTTGTACCAATCCAGGGGAAGCAGATGAAGTTTTGATGCCTTCAGGATAAAAGGTGGCAGAGGGTATGTAGCTCATTTTGAGAATGTTTGCTTAGTATGTGTGAAGCCCCGGGTTTGATCCCCAGCACAATACATACCCAGTGTGGTGGTACACACCTGTGGTCCCAGCACTTGAGAGGTGGAGGCAGGAAGATCGTCCCCAGCTACTTAGTGACTTTGGAGCCAGCCTGGGCTACATCAAATCCTGTCTCAGAAATAAAGACCAACATTAACCTTGTCAACCTCATTATGTGATTTGGATTGAATTTGATTTAGGAAAATAATTGTGATCAGTCTTGAGCATCCTAAGGTATGCTAAAACCTGGGGAGGCTCAGGCTTAGCTTCCAGATGGTTCTTAAAGTAAACCATCTTGAGCTTTCATGGGATCTCTCCTATCAGAATTAATCAGGCCACAATCTGCTTAGCTTAAGAGATGTAAATAACATCACAGGCACAGGCAAATACGCAAATCCAACAATATCCCTGTCTCCCCCGTCTTAGCACAATCTACATTCAACAGTTTACCACCCTGACCCTCTGTTCTTCGGGATCTCCAGGGATGAACACAGTGCATACCACACACAATGTGCTATTGGGGCAGTAACAAACACGAAGGTGGTCATGTATAAAAACATCCAAAACACAAAACGGAAGAGTACATTGCTTTGGGGAACTAATCTGCCATTGTGATTTTTTTTTTTTTTAAAGCATTCAGCAAATTAACTCCATCGAGGAATGCCAGTCTTTGCAAGACTCTGGGTGGCCTTGACTGAGGACATGTGTGTTATCAATCACAGAATCTAGGAGCAGGGAGGGTCTTGGTCTGCCAGAGTGTGTTGTCTCGTGCTGTTCCAGTGCTCAAAGATGTCCTCTTCTTTTTAGTTAAAAAACTGTTGGCTTCCACCGTCTTTCCAGTACTGTGGGTTAAAACAATCCCTTCCTTATTGTTTTATTAGTTTTTAAAAATTAATCCAAGTAGTAGGTGTCACGGTGACATTTTTCACTTTGTCCTTCTTGGACTCTCTTTGGGATGGCCACTGCTCACTGCCACCAGCCCCTTTGAAGGGGGCTCAACCCTTTCGTCCTATTACCCATCCCCTCCTTCCATTTAGATTTTTCCCTCTCCTCATGATCCCCTTTATCCATGATACACCTGTGCATATATACGTATATAAAAATTCAAAGCTATTTTCAAGGTTTTTTTCTGGGTTTGGCTTATTTTATTTAATATATTTTTTCCACTTTATCTACTTTCCTGCAAATTTCATGATTTTTCTTTACAAATCAACAGATTTTACAGATCAATGAAATTCCATTATGTATGTACACCAGATTTTTCTTACCCATCTATTGGTAGTCATGTAGGTTGGTTCAGTATCTTAGCTCCTGTGAAAACTATGGCATTAGGCGTGATGAATAGATGACATCTTTGTGGTGGGTGTCCTTTCTAATGATGATATCCATTGCTTGCAGGTAAAACATCTTCACTAATTATTCTATAAAAAGACCAAACTGAGGATCTAGGCAGTTCCAAGTCTCTCACCTCAGGGTTCAATTTTAATAGCAATATTCAGCCTTAATTGGTTTGGAAAATCGTCTACTATCACACCACACCAGAACAGATCTTGGCTTTATTTTCAATCCATTTCAAGTTACATATTTTACCCATGCTCCTCCAGGTTATTCAGATACAAAAAAGGAATATTGAGGCTTACACATACCTATGGCCTCAACCAAGCAGACAAGCACATTATGGAAGAGGTGATTTGAGAAACAAAGGATGATCAACTTGAATGGACTCAGAGAGGCTCTTTCCTGAAAGAACACCCACCACAGAATGGGGTCTAGTCTCTCCCTTCATACTCTCTTCCTTCTCCACTTGCTGGAGACAGGGCCTCCTGTAGTTTGTGACCCCAACCTGACTAGAGCTATATACCTAGAGGTTGACCTTGACCTGATCCTCCTGCCTCCACCTCCAAGTGCTAGAATTATAGGTGTGTGCCCCAATGCCCAGGACTTTGCATGCTAGGGAAGCACTCTGGGGCTTCCTCAGCCCCCGGTAGTTAAACTGATGTCTCCTTCAGGAGCCTTTTCAAGAATTGCCATCCATCACAGCACATCCTTTGTCACACGCCTTACTCACATTGGAAGAACAAAGGTCATTTCACAAGTTTCTTTAAAGTGACTCTAGACCCAGTGACACAGCCTAAGGCAAGCTCGCTCTGCCGCTCTGCCGTGGCCTGTGCTCACAGATTCCTTCCCAAGGTGACTCTCTACTTTCTAGACAGGAGACAGAGGAGTCGTCCCCCAGGTGCCTCTGTGGCAGCCACGTTCACATCCATGCACATTAAGAGAGAAACGCAACCTTAGTGTATGATAACAAGGACAGCCAGTCGATAAGGTCTAAAGACCCAGGTGCTAAGGTTTCTCCTGTCAAATAAAAGGGGGGAGCTGGTTACCTTGGCCATGGTTAGCGTCTTGTAGCCTGTCTGGAAGGACGGAAGGATGTCATCTGTACAAGTCTCTTCGGTGTGATGCAGCAAGAGTAAAGCTGAGTTCCCTCCCCCCTCCCTCGCCTCTCCCCTTCCAGCTCGTAGTTTGTGGCGGGCCTCCTGATTAAACGCTGCTGTGCAGTGAACATGGGCATCTAATGATTGACAGTGCAACCACAGCCCAGCTGTTCTTGAGATTATGCCAGAGAACCTGCCAGTGGGGGGCCCGGGATTCAGCACAGAGCAGCATGGATCAGCATTTGCCGAGGGGCTGTCTGCACAAAGTAAAGGGTGACTTATGTCCTCTCTACCCGTTCGTTGTTCCCTAGGTACGTGGTGTGGCTGGAAGGGGCTTGATGTTTACAGCACTACACAAAACATATAGATCCACGGTCGTTACTTCACAGCCTCCCCTGGGAAGCAGTTTCAGGCTCTGCGGTGTCTCCAGGAGCCACAGACAGTCCGGCTCGTTCTGTGTGTTCTTTCCACCTTCTCGGCAGACTGTTGCTTCTCTCCATGTGGGATGTTGAGAAGCACAAGTTATTCTTTTTGTCCTCACAACTGTACAAATTGATAGTTCGTAGCAGCTGTTCTTTTCCTTCTACCCAGAATGCTCTCAGTTTCTTCTGACTTTTTTTTTTTTTTTCCTAAGTCAGGGTTTCTCTGTGTAGCCCTGGCTGCCCTGGAACTTGTAGACCAGGCTGGCCTCAGACTCAAAGATCTGCCTGCCTCTGCCTCCCCGGTGCTGGGATTGAAGGTGTGGGCCACCACCCCTTTGAATTTGATTGTAAAAAGCCACTCATTCTTGAAAATGTTCTCCTTTTTGTCTTTGTCCCATCATGCCTCTCTCTGGCAACTTTTTTCTTTCCTTTTTTCTTTTTTTAACAATGGTGTGAGTGTGTGTGTGTGTGTGTGTGTGTGTGTGTGTGTGTGTGTGTGTGTGTGTGTAGCTGGGGCATGGCACATGTATGGAAAACAACTTTGGGAGGAGTTGGTTCTCTTTTCTCTCATGTGGGTTCCAGGAATCAAACTCAGGTTATCAGGCTTGGAGGCAAGCCTCTCTACTGGCTGAGGCATCTTTCAGGCCCCTGGATGTTTTATGTATCATCCTATGAACCTTTATCGTGACACAACTCACTTTCTTTGGGAGAAGGGAACAAGAATTTTGTGGTCCCGTTTTGCTGTGGAATAAGCTGGTTTCCTGACTGCATGGCTTCCTCTGGCCGCTGGGTGGCGCTACACCCTCGTCCTTTCTTCTTTTCCGCCCTTCCCTTCCCTACCAGTCAGCAAAATGTGGGTGGAGGTGGCTACTTCCTCTGTAAAACTGCTTTCTTTCCTTCATTCGGCTGTCACCCTAAACATGAACCTACAGACTGCCGTGTGTCAGCCTTATGGAATTCAGGACTCAGAATGAACATTGGGGCGTCCAGCCACTCCCAGGAGGACCTTTTAGAGGATTATTTCCTATAGTACATTTTTTGGTGGCCAGTTCCAGTTCTCAGTGACTCAACAGATCCTCTAATGCCTCCCATGGGAAACACAGCATCGCAGTATCAGAAAATAAAGTTAGCCAACATTTCCTGATGAGTTTTGTGCACATTTTTCTCTCCTTAATTGTATCCTCATTCTCTCTCCACCCTAGAACAGTGACCAATTCTTTTCCCTTCGCCACACTTCCACCCTTCAAATACTTGGAGACACGTCTCATATCCCGCCTTGAGTCACCGCTTGGCACAGCACTGTGTCTTCGGTTTTTATTGCTCTGCTCATAAACCGCACCCCCGAAGCCTTAATAGCCCGAAGTTTGCCTTCTTCAGGGAAAAGGGGATGGGAGTGGCAGGTGAGGAGGCCCAGAGGTGGGTTTAGAGCAAAGCCAACGAAACTCCATTTCCAGGGCCTCTCGCTTATTTGGGCTGTTTCCAAGGGCCTGCTGCCCAATCCGAACTTATAATTTCATATTATTTTCCTTAAAGAAGGTTTCCAAAATATTAGTGTAGGCCTCCACAGCAGCTCTGATCTGCCCATTCCTAGACTGTGCATTTTTATGTGGGTGCCTGGCTGGCTGCTTATTGGATGTGACCAGGCTTAGCTCCCTCTCCTCGAGGACCTTGGGGCCCAGTGTCCAATTTCCTCTTCTTAACAAAAACACGAGTTTCTCTGCCTTGCCACAAAAAGTCAGAAGCCAGCATCCCATTCACTTCCTCTCATTGTACGTTGCCCTGGCTCTTTCCCTGCCCACCCTTTTCCTTTCCTCTCTAGGACAGAAAAGGTAATTGCTGGTCAATGTAACAAAGAAAATTAGACTTGGCTCAAAAGCTCACAATTCAGTATAGAGATGAATATCCTGCATCTCAGTATAGTATTTCCACTTGGTATGTGGGACTGTTAATGATTCTAGGGTGATGTCCATGAGGCTATGTATGCACCTCACCATTTATGACATCACAATGCCAAGGCCTGGGACTGACCTTTTGCTAATGTCCTCAGTCACACTTCACTGTACTTGATGAAGCCCTTTTTACTAGATTTGCATAAAGAGAAATGGTGGTTGGGGACACATGCTTCGTAGGCAGAAACTCGACTGCGTTTCCGGTATGCTGCAGACTAGAGATGATGAAGAATGCTGAGCAAGAGTGTGTTTGCCTCTTCCTTAACACCGGAGCCCGGGGCTAAGGGATCCAGTATTTTTGTCGTCCCCCCCCCCCCCATGCCATCCACCTAGACATCTTGCTTGCCCTGCCTGGCGAGAGTTTCTCTGTGCTCCCCAGGGCCAGAATTCTTGACCCATGGCCCCATGAAGTAACTCCTTCTGTTACTCAACAAACAAAAGGCTGGTGTGGAATTTAAGCGCTTTGGCCATCACTGGCTGATGAACAGACAGCTCTGCTTTCTGTGCCTCCACTTCCTGATGGGTACCCCGTCCATGTAACTCATCACGGGCCTTCCCTGACGGGTACACCTGCCACGTAACTCATCACGGGCCTTCCCTGAGGGGTACACTGTCCATGTAACTCATCACGGGCCTTCTGTGTCTGGCATGCTCCTTTGGTTCTATGGCAATGTGTGTAGTATAATCGGCCATGTTTTATGCATGGCTGACTTCAGCACAGTCTTCACATCAACGAACAAAGAAGTTTCGTAAGGTTAACAGGGCTTATGAACACTGTTGGGAAACCGATGGGCAAAGACATGAACACAGACATATGTCCAAATAGCCTCACATACACATCACTCTTCCCAATTCACCTACAAAAGCAACGGGGAGCCACATCAAGACCCCAGAGGGCCAGGGGCGTATCGGACCTTCCACACGGATGCATTTTTCGGCCAGTACATTTCCTCACACCTGTGGGAACATTCCTGCTTTTCCATGAGCAAAGGCTCAGAAAATAGCAATGATCTCATTACCAGTATTATCTTTAGTCTGACTAGAGGACAGGTCACTCAAAACAGTGACAGGTCGGAAATGTTCTGTCCCGTTTCAAGAGGAGTGAAACAGATTCCCTACAGATTAGGGTCATTTTGATGTGGCTCCAGCCTTCTGAGCTTTAATTCTATACTACGGGACATTGAACTTCAAGGTTTCCCAGAGGACGTTTATTGTGTTCTCTGTGTTGTGTTCAACTCTGGACCTCCCATTCTCAGCTGTACCCAGCCTGTAAGGGCCCGCATGACCCCAAGCACTCCTAAGGTGGGTCGGGAGTGCTGGGAATGTTCTCATTTATGTTCAGTGGGAAGGGCCAAAGGAAAAGACTTGGGGCCTTCCTCGAGCCTTTCCCTTTCCGCTTTGTCATGGAATTGTTAGAGGGCTTTTGCTATAGCAGTCAGTTCCAGGAGAGGAAGCCCCAGCTTTTCGTCCAATCCCAAACCGCTGGCGTGAATCAGAGGGGCAGCCACATCTGCATTTCCTGTGGAGCAATCTCTCACGCGTGAGTGACTGCTCAGACAGGGCTGGCCCGGGCTGCCAGGGGACTGAGGATCCAATGAAGAAGAGGGGTGTCCGGGAAACTGCTGTCCATAGACAGTGCAGGGTCACCCCTTTCCGCCTCAGCGCGCTCCCCTGCGCCGCAACGTTTTCTTCCCCCTCTCCCCTCATCTCCACCCTCTGCCTGGGTGTCTGAGCCCCATGGGATTTCCACCATGCTTCCCCCAATGAGTAACCCTGGCAGCGTTTACTACGGCGCCCCAGTTGCCTAGCAGCGGGTGGTTGCCACGGCGACGCACCAGAAGCCTGTTTTGAATTGTTTGGTGAGGCCCCGCCCTTGCGCCTCGGGCGCTTGGGACTTCCAGGACGGGCGTGGCGGGGAACCACGAGGTTTCTTCCTCTTTCTCTTCCTTGGGTGGGTCCTGAGTCCCGTTGGCCTCTCTTGATGGCGGCGTGGACCGGCCCAGGGAAGAGACTGGGTCCTGGGATAAATTCCTCACACGCTGACAAGGCGTGAGGACCCACCCGGTTGCTGTCAATCCCAAAGTCAAGCATTTCCCAAAGATGCAGGTCCCTGAACCCTTTCTGATGGAGGGGCAATGTAGGCCTGCCTTGTTTTGTAGGTGCGAGGGGTAAGGCTGGGGACTTGAACCCCTCAGCACATCTGAGGTGTAGTGGTTACCTACCTGCTTCCCCAAGGGATGATGGGAGAGGTGGGGAGTTCTCTACAGTTGTGGTCTGAAGATCTAAAGAAGTGGGAGGAAAGTGGAATCTAAGGAAAAACCATCCGAACTACCAAGCTAGGGGCTAGACGCTTCACTAACTGCTCCCTAGGCACCCACACCCCGCCAGATTCAGAGGCGGTATCTCCACCGGTCAAGTGAGGGCTGGAATTCAGCCTTTGACTTGCACCAGATCACAAATGCAGACATGGTGGAGTCGCCCTTCAAACCTGCAAACGCCAGGAGGCTGACTCCTTTCGAACTAAAGTGCTGTCTAGCAAAGGGCAGGCAGATATCTTTAACAAAAGTCACGGACTGCAGGTCACATCAGGGACCCGCCTCTAGAATGAGGCGCAGGAACACGTGCTGCGCTTTATGCCTCTTAGGTCCATGTTAACCAACAGACTTCCCAGTAACCTCGCTGTCCCCTCTGTAGAGAAGCAACGATAAAAGGTAATAAAACTGCAAGCGCTGGCTGGCTTTGGCTACCGTGTTCATATCTGTCTGTAAGGGCTCTTCAGTTGATCGTGGCCCCTTCGGCTTCTTCTGAACTGAGGAAGCTGCCCCTACTGCTCCGCCCCACGGTCTCACAGATGCCTCTTTCTTAGGTTTCCTTGGCCTTCTGAACACACTTGCCCGCTGCCCAGTAACCCTACATCGCTCCCCGCCCCCAACCCCAGGTGTGCATCACGCCACTAAAGGTGGGACTCAAATACTGAATAAGGGAAATTAATCAATCAGTATTCACGAAACTTCCAAAAGCGCTGTACCTACCTCCTGGGTGAGGCAAACATTTTGAGTCAGCTGAGAGGGATGGCTCATTCACCGGTGTAGTTCTGAAACGGAAACGGAGGTGTTTCAGTTCCTTCTCTGATGGTTCTTATTCCGTTGCGTGGCTCAGGTGTTGAGGGAGGGGGTTCACCAGGTCCCCTCTTGCCAGCAGAGGGGTAAGGTGGTATGTGGTGAGTTGGGAGAGGATGAATGTCCCTCAGGCCGGACACTGGCTTGGGTGGGGGTGGGTTACTATGACTTTGCTCTGTGATGTCACAGTGGCAGGCAGGGGGTCTCTCCCCTCGACGCCCCACCCACTCCTCTCCCAACCCCAGAAAGACCAGGTTGGGAGAAGGGGCACACTGGGTACCGCTCAAAACCCAGATGCCTCCTGAGGTCTTCCAGTCAGTGCTTTGGTATATCAAAAAGACCTGGGGAGTTCACCGGAATGCAACTTGAAGGTTAGGCATGGCTGGCATGGGGTGCTAACCAGACCACACTGCTGTCCGAGAGAATTACAGTTGCGAGCCACACGCGTCTTAGAATGTTCTCACACCCCCATTCAAAACAGTGTAATGAACACATGCAGCAATACAACATGAACTCTTACCCCATGATGAGTGAAAGCAGACTGAACCCCCCTCCCCTCGCCGCCCCCAAACAAGTTGGGTCTAAAGAAGAACACACTGCTCCCATCTTAAAACAAATGCGTTAAAATGAAATATAATGACTCCATTGTACCACCTGCATCATGAGGGTTCGAGATCTTCACATGTTGCCGCTGTGTTGGCATTTTTAACTCTAGATCATTCCTGAGAAGGTAATGACGCACAAAGGTTGCCACTTTAAAGGACCAGTGTCTGCAGAGCTAGGAGATATTCACTATCAGGTTTATTTTTATTTTTTGTTTGAAACAGGGCCTCACACTTGCTATGTAGCTGAGGCTGGCCTTGAACTCCTGATCCCCCTGCTTCTACCGCCCAAGTGCCAGGATGACAGGAGAGTTCACCATGCCTTGCATTTTCAGTTTTTGCTTTGAAACAGGCTCTTACTCAGTCAAAGCTGGTCTGAAACTCATTATATAACCAAGGTTGGGCTTCAACTCATGGCAATCCTCCAGCCTCTGTCTCTGAGTGCCAAGATTTATAGGTGTGAGCCACCATGTCAAGTCCACTGTTAGAGTTTTAATAGGCACAGATCGACCCTGGGGCATAACTCAGCTCCAGGTGAGAGATCCCGGAATTGGAAGGGTCTGGACAGGGACCTGCCCTGTGTACACATCACCCTCAGTCTACCTCTCCGAGGTCCTGTCTCCTCCTCCCCACGGCCTCCAGGTCCTGACTCCCAGGACCTGTGGTTCTAGCCTCAGGACCCTGTTTTCCAGCCCCTCTGACTCTCCATTTTCTCTCAGCTTCCGTAGTACACTGGTCTGGCCATAAACTCAGAAGTTATGTTCTTATTCCTTGCTTTTCTTTTCCTTCCTTTCTTTCTACTTCCTTTTCCCTTTACCACCCCTCCCTTCCCTCCCCTCCCTTCCCCTTTCCTTTCTCTCCTTTCTCCCCTGTAGATGTAACCAACCGTCTTATAAGAAACACAGAAACAATGTAAAAGAGAAAGCCGAGAAGTCAGAGCTCAGAGCTAAAATCTCACCCTTCCTCCTGCTGTCCCAGCTTCGCGAAAAGAGAGCTACCTCCTGTCGG